GGGGGGCCGGGGCTTCCATCGCTCGGTTCAGGTGGCCGGAACAGGAGAGCCCGGCCAGGTGGCTGAGTCCCGCCCGGACGGAGAGGCCGTAAACGCCAGGCAAGCGGTTGGGGGGGAAACCCAGGGAAGGGACGGGGTGGGGGGCAGCAGTAGCCGCTCGACGGGCGTGTGAAGGTGTTCGCGGGGGCGGTTCCTCAAGCGCTCGCTGCTTCTCCATCAGGACGGGGCGGGCGGGGAGAAGGGAGGAAGAGAGGAAGCCGCCCGCCCGGTTGGCTTCGCTTCTTCAGCGGCGTGCAAACGAGAAGGCGGCAGAGGAGAGGCAAAGTTCGCCTGGACGGGGAAGCCGGAACCGCCGTGTTCACGTGGAAGCCGCCTGGCGGAGACGGACCCCTTCCCCTCGATCATACTTGGGGCTGTCGGCGCCGCCCGCCTTTGTCCCTGGAGGCAGCTCCTGCCGGCGCCGAGGGAGCGGCCGCCCCCGAAAGTGCGGGTGCGGCTTTGTCCCGGCCAAGGGCGCGGTGACGACTCTAGCGCACGTCAGTCGAAAAGCGTGGCGGAGGGTAAACCTCTCTTTCGCAGGTGGTCGGAACGGCGATGAGAGTCTTCAAGACCGGGGGCAAAATTGAAACAATCAGCTGAAGGGATTCCTCTCCCCTTGCCCAGTATTTGTTCCTTGGCATAGGAATGCCCTCCTCAGGCTTAATGTTGGGCTTCTCGGAGTTTGCAGCGTAACCTGAGGAGACGTGCGAAGTTACTTTTTTTTTGTTACCACAATCCCCAGAATCCCCTTTAGCCCGACAGGGCGGCCGTGTGATCTGAGGAATTCTGGGAGTTGTCGTCCAAAAATAAACTTTTCGGTCCCTTTGCGCTCTTGGAAGCCCTTTCGCCAAAAACTCGCAGAAGACTCGCGCATGCTCAGAGGGCCGCTCTGGATTACTACCGCCCGTCTTCCAGGGATGCTCCCTGAAAACAGGTTGAGCGAGCCTTAAGGAGCAAAGCCGCAACTTTTCGAAGGGGCCCTGGCAGCCGCGTGAAGTGCGATGGCGCGCCGGCGGCGGCCCTGACGCGTTGTGGGCGCGTTCACAGTACAGGGAGAGGTGAAGAGAAGGCCATTAAAGCTCGCTTGAGCGTTTCGGTTCCAGCCGATACTAACCTGGCTTCCCCAGGGACCACGCTTGGCATATCTTGTGAGGCAGAGAGATCAGGTGCTCGGTCAGGCCAGGTGGCCGGAGAAGCTGTGGGATTAACAACAGTTTAGAGAAGGTAAACTCAAAACAATACGTGGAAGAATTGTCTGGTCCACTATAACATGGGTAAACTGGATGCTACAGAGGCTATCTAACCTAGCCTGGCTCATCGGTGCCCTCTTGCTGTGTGACCAGTAGCCCTTTCCCGCCACTGTCCGGCTAGAGATTTCCATAGCAGACAAACGTGGATTGGCTCTGCTTTTCTTTCTGTTTAGAGACTTACTTTCCTTAGAGGTTGTTGAGGGTGGGTGTGGCATAGAAAAATAGCTCGTAAATCTAGAAAGAAGGGGAGTAGATAATCTGGAGAGCAAGGCAGCCAACGGTGTCCGTCTCCCACTTTTGTCTGTCTGTGGTCCCTTCAGCATCTACCTATTCTTGGGGTGAGCTTCAAAATTCCCAGCAGGCAGAACCTGGGACTGGGAGAGGTCCTTTCATGTCTATGCCACGAAACTCGAGCACCTTGATTTACCCTTTCCTTTGTTTACGCAATCACTGGAGATAAGCTAAAGTTGAATGTGTTTACTGTAGTTATTCTGGCGGGAACAAAGCGGAGCTAGATATGCTAAGGGCCTTTACAGCCAGTTGGGTCGAAAACCCTCCCTTTGCCTAATGTACCTTTTTTACTCTGACAAGCTTTCTTGTCTGTCACCTGATTACTCGGATTTGAGAGTACGCGAACAAATTCTTGGATCGAAGAGTCCTAATCGTGTTGCTGCCCTGTATAGCTAGAAATGGCATGCGAGACGTCATGCCGGAACGAATTAGATACTCAATTTATTTGTTAAAAATGTATTCCGCATCCCTGCTTCAGAAACGGCTCTCCGCTTTTTCTGTTGCTCTTATCGGGAGCCACTGCCGCAGAAGCGGTCAGGCGCAAAGATCTTCCCATTTCTCCAGAAAGCTTAAAAAATTCCAGCCAAGTGGAAAGTGTTTTCTGCTCTCCCAGTCGTTTTTTTCCCTCCCGCTTGCGACAAATGCGAGCTATTTTCTTGGAGGGTTTGCACATGTGCCCGTAGCTTCTCGTCCGCCGCGAGCAGTGTGCGCCGGGCGAGGTTTACACCTGAGTTGAATGGTGGGAGGAGCTTCAGTGCTCGTGGGGCCCCGCCCACTCCGCCGAAAGAGCTGAATCTTGTGGTGAGAGAAGGCGGGTTTTCGCTCCGAGGGGTAGGAAGCGAGCCTGGTTTATTTATTTATTATTATTTTTTGCAGTAGGTAATGAGAAGTGGCAACAAATAACACGGGAGTCCTGGCACTTTAAAAGCTAACAAGTGTACCGTAATTTGTATTAACCTACTTTTTGCAGCAACAGGCAAAATCCTGGGGGTGAGGGAAAACGGATAAAACTTCCTTCCTTTTACTACTGAGTTATTCTCAAAAGGCCCGTTAGAATCAAACCTTTGTCTGTAGGGGAAGGTTAGGTTTGTCTGACTCTCAAAATCAGCTGGTGACCTTCGATGGTGAGCATTTCACTTTTACTATTTCAGAAATCTTTAATTCCTTCTAAGAACTGAATGGAAAGGAAGAGTTGGATTGGAGTCAACAGACTCCTGGGTTTTGTTTTCAGCTTTTGAGAGAGATGGACAGACAGAACCATAGGAAGGGCCAGGTCTGGTGTATATGTGTGAGGCAGGATCAGATATCTGGTTACTACTCTCTTCCCTTTTGACAGGGGTGTATTATTTTGGCTTTACAAGGAGGACAGGTTGGGAACCAAAACACATATTATTAAAACCCCTTTCCCTTTGTTTTGGGAGATTTAGTAGATAGGATTCCTTGAAATTATTCCAGTTCTGAGATATCTTGCCATGGAAAATTGCACCACAAGTTTTTAAAAAGTCTTAACTTTTTACAAGCCCCATCAAGACCTGGATTAGCTTAATTGGTGAAAATTGCCCTGCTTCTCAGCCCTTCTGTTTTGGCTGCTCTTTCTGAATTGTAATCTGCAGAGGTATGTAAATAGCTGCTTTAGCATTCACACAAACCCCAACTTTATGGAAGACAATGACTGTTGCAGCTGTTCAGACACATTCTTATGCAAGAACCTAAGGCCAGGCCAGGCCAGGCCAACCATCAGTCAGAACAAAGTAGTGACCTCAGGAAGCTTTTGGTGTCATAAAAAGGCAGCCGATTGTTAGTCATTCCCTTTGTTATTCTCTCTGGAGAGGGAGGAATCCCTTGTGAGATGTTTATGCCTTGACTGGGGGAGGGTGCCACTCACTGCTTTGCCTCGGGCACAGATAGCAGAAATGTCTTGAGCTGCTCTAAAGAAAATCACATGCAGGCTCTTAGCAAAGTGAAATAAGTTCCTCTTGAGGGTTATTCCTGTGCTGGGCCTTGAACAACCCAAGCCTACCAGCTGGGTAATGTGTATAGTTGCCACCTAGTTATTGGTAATATCCTGATGACCAGTGGCTGTATTGGAGCTTGCCAGTGACAAAAACCATATTCTACTGCTTCTGAAAGGAAAGGAAAATAGAAAAACTTGTGCCACAGTTCTTCTCTGTTCTTTTTTAAAAAGCCATTTGGAATAACAGTCCTCAGGATAAGGATTAGCTCAGCACCCATGTATATTGTGAATGTCAGGAATCGTTCTTTTAGTCGCGTCCGACTCTTCGTGACCCCATGGACCAGAGCACGCCAGGCCCTCCTATCTTCCACTGCCTCCCGGAGTTGGGTCAGATTCATGTTGGTTGCTTCGGTGACACTGTTCAACCATCTCATTCTCTGTCGTCCTCTTCTCCTCTTGCCTTCACACTTTCCCAACATTAAGGTCTTTTCCAGGGAGTCCTCTCTTCTCATGAGATGGCCAAAGTATTGGAGCCTCAGCTTCCGGGCACAGATAGCAGAAATGTCTTGAGCTGCTCTAAAGAAAATCACATGCAGGCTCTTAGCAAAGTGAAATAAGTTCCTCTTGAGGGTTATTCCTGTGCTGGGCCTTGAACAACCCAAGCCTACCAGCTGGGTACAGTAATGTGTATAGCTGCCACCTAGTTATTGGTAAGATCCTGATGACCAGTGGCTGTATTGGATCTTGCCAATAACAAAAACCATATTCTACTGCTCCTGAAAGGAAAGAAAAATAGAAAAACTTGTGCCACAGTTCTTCTCTGTTCTTTTTTAAAAAGCCATTTGGAATAACAGTCCTCAGGATAAGGATTAGCTCAGTACCCATGTATATTGTGAATGTCAGGAATAGGGAACACCATTTTAATAACCCAGCTATGGGGACCATATGACTCAAACCATTTTGAGTCATATTTTGATTACTGCACTCTACATCTTTTAAATCACAGTACTGACAATCCTGTTTAGAATAATGAGTCTAGAGAAATACAGGCACATTTACTTGTTAGCCTACATTTTGCACACTTACCACCCCCAAACCTTAATCTGTTAACCACAGTTTGGATATGTAAAACCTTCCCTCTGTAATTTGTGTGGGTAACAACAGCTAGAGATACAATGTGATGTGACTAGAATGCCATCCTGGGACTCAGGAGACCTGGGTTCAAATCCCTGTGTGGCCATGAATTTCACTGGAGGTGTGTGGCAGTGGCAAATTGCTCCTTGAACCTCTAACAGACCTTGAAAACCTGTAAGTTGAAAGCAACAATAATGCATAAGAAAATATGTGACAAGTCTCTCAATCTTACACACGTTTAACGGGTTGTACCTTTGCTGACAAGGTTGTGTTTGGAAATCAGAGCTGTATACATGTAATATAGGTCCATGAAAACCAGTAAAGCATCCTATATTGAAAGTGTAGGGGCAAGATTCAGTGGGTATCTGGTGTGTTGCCATGCTACTCTCTGGTTCTAAAAGTTCAAGAGAAGCCACTGTTGAGGACATTAGATTTGCAGAAAAGGAAGTAGAAGAAGCTATATCCTCTGTTATTGCTATCCCCAAAAGATCTTTCTGGATTGTAGGACAAAGGTGATGTTGGCTTTAGATACTTTTGGCACATTCTTGTTGCTGGTCTGACATCTGCGAACTCTTACCCATCAGTGTTGTGGGAGAAGAGCTACTATAGCAACCAGAATTTCAAAGACCACTCCATTCTATTGGTGTTTCTTGGGCACAAATGTACAGTAACTGAATCATTGTGGGTCTTCCTCTTTGGGGATCCCTGCAAAGGCTTCAACCATAGCCCAGATATACATGTAACATTTACTCAGGCTCAGTGCCGTCTGGTCACTAACCAAAAGAAAAAAGGATGAGGAAACTTGGTGTGACCTACAGCAAACAAAATCAATATATCTACTTCAGTCCATCCAAGGATTATATTTTTTTTGTTGGCAGTGTTTGAAAACAAACCAACGGTCAACATGAATTCTATATTGTGAGTAATTCTTACTGTCCTAGAAGAAAACCTGATTGTACATTTAGATCTATGAGAAGTTTTTATAGGAGGCCGTGGGCCTGTCCACACAAGCGTATAGATGGGTATATGGATCGCTGTTGGGGCGAGCCGAATGACGGTGTCCACATGTGTTTCCTGCTTAAATCAATCTGCAGTCCCTACGTTTGGCTACTATGTAGCACTGACATATGCTTGTAATTTTTCAAAATCAAACTTATAAGCAGCATCGGTTCATTTGGGGACAATTGAAGGGTTGCTAGAAAAGTTGAGAAGTACTTACCAGGTTGTCTTTTGTTTTGTCTAAAGCAAAGCCTCCCAGAACCAGAGTTGGCACATCTTATTTTTCTATACTTTTGGACTGGCAAACCTGAGGCTCTCCTGGCATGGCTTGACTCCAAATTCCCACCAATCCCATCAGCATGACTGATGGTCATGGCTGAGAAGAGATGTGGTTCTAACAACATTTGGAGGAAGCCGGGCTTTCACCACTGCTGTTTTTAAAGACATTTGTAAATATGAGCCAGTAATAGTAGGGTTGTTTTTTTTCCTCCTCAGGGAGAGGTAGCAGCCTGGGAGATTTCTTCTGTAGCACTCTTACTGACCTACTAGGAAGCTTGTCCCGAAGCTGGTCCTTGGAAGAATTATTTGTGTTTTAAGTGCTAGCGGGAGCAGCATATGAACAAATTTTTCCCAGTACTGAGATAAACTTACCTCTTTGACGGATCTAAGAACAAGCCCAACAAAAAGATAGCAGTTAATGTAAAAAATGTTCAGAGGATCCTTATACCAAGGAATGATGATCTTCACTTTAACCCCCATGATACCTTACTGTAGGTTAGCCTACTAAGATCGATGATAGTTGTTGTCCAAGATCACAGCTGCCCATCTCTCATTTTTTTTATATTACTGTATATGAGTTGTAACCCACAGAGTAATGCCGTGACATTAATGGGAGTGGGATACAAATTGAATGAGTGGATGGGTGAGTGAATGAATAGAGACAAAGAGAGTCCTTTTGTTAGTTTCATTTCTGTCTCAGATGTGAAACTGGAAGATGAGCCATGGCAGCTGGACTTCTTTCTTACTGAAATGTTTCGCTACTCATCCAAGTGACTTCTTCAGTCTGAGAAGAGTTGGTAGGTCTCTGATATATGTTGGTTTCACTTCCCCCTGGTCTGAATAGGCTCCTTAGATGGACAAAAGAGGGGGGGTATGTGAGTGAAAATGCCACGCTGCTGTCCTTCTCCACCCATTGTCATGAGTCCTTAACAGTTGTCAATAGTGGCCTTTCTGGTGTGTTTGGTCCTGATCTTTCTGGGAATGGATGAAAGGGTAGCGTGATAAATAGGAGACAGATTGTATCTAAGGCCTCCACCCTTGTTGACTGAGGGATTTTCTACATGTATGGTCTCCCTGACCCCTCTCTCAGTACATCTTGGTCATCAAATGAGTGTTCTTTGTCCATCTAATAAGCCTATTCAAACCAGGGAGACCAAGTGGAGGATATATCAGGGATCTCCTACCAACTCTCCTCAGACTGAAGAAGCTCCTTGGACGAGTAGTGAAATGTTTCATCCTAATAAGAACGAAGTCCAATTGCCATGGCTCAGCTTCTAGATAACTTCACCTGGATGATGAATCTTCATAGACATACCAGCTGTGAAAGTGTCTTAGGGCAGGCCTTGATTTAGAAGTTATTTTCCTCTTTGTGTACTCCCAGTTCAATAGCCTTAGTTCTCATGGATAGCCATCTCTTCAGTAACGTTGGCCTGCATCTCCTGTTATCGCAAACCAGCATCATCACTGGCCATACAGGTGGGATAATGGACATTGTAATCTAGCACATATACTGTAGAAGGTATTAGGTTGAAGATCAGGACAAATCTTTCATATGTGTTTTGCAGAGCTAGTATTTTACCTGTTGATGCATAGGGGAGGAAACAAGGAAATAATATAGGTCCTGCGGCCAGAAATAAGCCAGCAATTTCAGATTAAATCTGCAGTTTTGGAAGAAGAGATATGAACAATTCTAACCAATTGGCGTTTTTTGGTAGGCAGTATGATCCCGGTAGCCGAATTCAAGCAGTTCACAGACCAGCAGCCTGCCTTCAAGGTACTCAAGCCATGGTGGGATGTGTTGTCAGAGTACCTCACCATTGCAATGCTGATGATAGGAGTTTTCGGCTGTACTCTGCAGGTAAGTGAATATGCGGGAGCCTAAGTTGCATTTCCCAGTGGAATGTTGGAGTAGACGCTGAACCAAGTGTGGGAGAAAAAGCTGTTGAGGACACTCTGGGTGGGTGCAGAAAAGACCACTGGACTGGCAACATCCTTTTCAGGTGCTCGTGGTCCTTTGCAGTCAACTCTTTGGGAGCTGGAGGCCCAAAAGATGGCATTGTTGGCAAGGATAAATAAGGCTTATTCTGATTACAAGTGCAGCATAATGAGGTGGTAACGCTGGATAATATCAGGTCAGACTGCAGTTGAGGCTAATTCCATTTGTAATGATCCCCAGTTTTTTAAAAATAATCAAAACTTATATGTAAAAACAATAACAACTTGATGCATCAGAGAGAAAGAGGTTCTCTCCCTGTTGTGCTAGATTTCTATCATTGGCGATGTTGATGTATTAAAAATGTGATCTTCCACCTATTGCTTGAAGTAGCAAACTCTGTTCAACCATACTGGGGCTCTTCCATTTATTTCCACCTTATCGTAATCATTGTATTTTACTTTGTAATATGTCATGTTTCTCGTCTTCTCCTACTTGACTTTATAGGTCATACAGGACAGGATTATTTGCCTTCCCAATCACATTGCGAATGGTACAGCCTTCAGTGATGTAACCTGCGAAGATTTCACCAAAAGACGAGTCAGTGCTTCAGAGCCAATTCATTCTTCTGCCTACCAGGAAATGAGTGGCCGACAGAACAACCTAGACATCCAGCAGTACAATTACATCAATCAGATGTGCTACGAGACAGCTCTTCATTGGTATGCCAAATACTTTCCCTACCTGGTTGTCATCCACACCCTCATCTTCATGGTGTGTGCCTCCTTTTGGTTTAAATTTCCTGGGACCAGTTCCAAGATTGAACATTTTATCTCAATCCTGAGCAAGTGCTTTGATTCACCCTGGACTACCCGAGCCATCTCAGAAGTATCTGAAGAGGAAAATGTAAGCTCAGAGAAAATGGACCGGAGACGGAAAAGTAGTGCTCCTGGTAATGAGACAATGGAACTCTCTCCCTTAAGGGGATCGGTTGCAGAGAAGAAGGTTACAGGTTCCCCCTCCTCCTTGAGCCTGTTGGACAAAAAGGAAGGTGAGCAGGCAAAGGCTCTCTTTGAAAAAGTGAAGAAGTTTCGGCTCCATGTCGAAAAAGGAGACATTCTCTATACCATGTACATCCGTCAAACTATCCTCAAAGTCTGCAAGTTTCTCATAATTACTACCTATAATGCCATCCTGATTCCCAACATTAGCTTCATAGTGCCATGCAGTATCAAGATGGAGGACATGACAGGCTACGATCACTTTTGCTGCAATCACACTAAAGCCCACCTGTTCTCCAAGCTGGCCATTTGCTACATCTGCTTCCTTGGCATCTATGGCATGACCTGTCTCTATACACTCTACTGGCTCTTTCACAGACCCCTCAAAGAGTACTCCTTTGACTTTGCCCGTGAGGAGACAGGCATCTGGGACATCCCTGATGTCAAGAATGACTTTGCTTTTATGCTCCACCTCATAGACCAGTATGACTCTCTCTATTCCAAGCGCTTTGCTGTCTTCCTCTCTGAGGTCAGTGAGTTCAAGCTCAAGCAGCTCAATCTCAGTTATGAGTGGACGGTGGAAAAGCTGCGACAGAAGCTGCAAAAAAATGTTCATGACCGGCTGGAACTCCATCTCTTCATGCTGTCTGGATTGCCTGACACCACCTTTGAGCTGACTGAGTTGCAGGCCCTGAAACTGGAGCTCCTCAAGGATGTTACTTTCCCAAACTCAGTGACTCAGTTGGTCAACCTCCAAGAGCTAGCACTGATCAACACCCCTGTTAAGCTGAATTTTACATCTCTTATGTTCTTCCGTGAACACCTGAAGGTGATGCTTGTGAAGTTTGATGATATAAAAGACATACCACTATGGACCTACAACTTGAGAGGCTTGGAAGAGTTGTACATTGTGGGGCAGTTCAACCAGGAGACAAACCGAGCAGGAAGTCTGGAATGCATGCGTGAGCTGAGGAACCTGAAGGTGCTGACGCTGCATAGCAACATGTCCAAACTGCCAGCCAGCGTGGCTGATCTTGCCACTCATTTACAGAGGCTCCGGATCCATAATGATGGGATTAAGCTGATGAGTCTCAACACCCTGAAGAAGCTCTTCTGTGTGCAAGAACTGAAGCTGATAAATTGCAACTTGGACCGTATTCCCCATGCTGTCTTCAGCCTTGTGAGTTTGCAGGAGTTAGACCTGAGAGATAACCAGCTGTATTCCATTGAAGAGATCATCAGCTTCCAGCATTGCCGCAAGCTAGTGTGCCTCAGACTTTGGCACAACCACATTACCAACATCCCCGACCATATCCGCAAGATTAAGACCTTAGAGGAGCTTGACCTCAGCCATAATCGCATTGAGACCCTCCCTACCCAATTATTCCTATGCACTAAGCTGAATTATTTGGATCTTTCTCACAACAACATCCAGGTTATTCCTCCTGGGTTGGGGGTTCTCCAAAACCTCAGTTACTTTGCTGTTTCTCACAACTCCATAGAGGAGTTGCCTACTGAAATCTTCTTCTGCAAGAGACTCAAGGTCCTCAAAGTGGGACACAACAAACTGCACCATCTCTCTGACCGTGTAGGCTGGCTGTCTTTGCTCACTAAGCTAGAGCTGCAAGGGAACCAACTTGATGCCCTGCCCTCAGAGATTGGCAAGTGCCCAGCCCTGAAGCGCAGTGGCCTCATGGTGGAAAGCAATCTGTATGAGGCATTGCCTTTAGAAGTCAGGGAGAGAATGGAGGATGATTGATGAGGAGATTCAGAGCAGGGCTAAGGGACCTTCTCAAGTGTTGATCACCCAGATACAGTGCATAGAGGGATCTGGCTGTGTCTGACTGACTAAATCTTATAAAACGTCCCACCTTTTTTCTTCATGCCACTGGGTGGCCCTAGTACAATGATCTATCTCAGGCTGGAACCAAGGCAGGGATGGAAAACTTTCATACTAGGAAGGAATGGAGACTGCTAGGAATTGAAAACCTGATATTCAGGTGGAGCAAAGTCTCAACGAAGTAAACAAAACAATACAAAAAAAGCAGCAAGTGGCACTGTTAGTAATAACAACTAGTTTTCAGAACTGACGAGTTGCAAGAATGTTCGTTTATGAGAAAGAATTGCCTGCACCAGAGAAGTCCATTATTATAGTTATTTTTATATATGCATGTGTGTGTGTACTTGTGCTTTTTATTGAAATGTTCTGGTGCATTTGTTGCTTGAGTCCCAGTTAATGCTGCATTGATGGGCATGTTCCTGCAGCAGAGTCTTGGCTATGGGGTGCTTCTCTGGTAGAAGAGGATGCAAGAAGCAATCTTCACCCACACCTCACTGCAATATTTTCATCTTAAGAGCGACATGAAAAAGTTGTAAAATTAGGCATGGGAAAAAAGGTATAGAAGTTTTTTTGTCCTCATATGATAGTTCTAAGTAAAGAGTGACATGAAAAAGTTGTAAAATTAGGCATGGGAAAAAAGGTATAGAAGTTTTTTTGTCCTCATATGATAGTAGAATATGGATGAAGCAAAATGGTAGGTTCAGAATAGGCAGAAGGAAGTACTTCATAACACATAAATACCTCATGGATTTCAATGCCACAAGATGTAGTGATGGGCATCCATCTGGACAGATTTAAAAGGGATTAAACAAATTCATGAAGGAGATCAACAGCTCCTAGCCACATGGGCTATATATTACCTTCGGTATTAGCAGCAGTATGCACTAAGTAATGGGAACTTATTTCTCAGTTTTGTAACTGTGGACCCATTTTTGTAAGCCAAATAGACACAAAAATGTCTATTCACCTGACACAGAGGCAGTGAATGCGTGGCCCGCAGAGTGTAATTAATCTGCAACTGTCATCAGCTGTTGCAGGACAACAGTATCTGAAGAATGGCATATTCCTAGCCCTGCCTTAGCCTAAGGGTTGTTTCGAAGGAGAGGCAATACATTTTTGCCTCTCCTTCGAAATGCAACATACGTACGTGGTTCCCATATTTCCTTACATTACATTTGTATTGTACCCTGTCTCCAGAGGACACAGTGCAACATAGTTGGTTCCCACCTTTCGGCTTCATAATCCCCAGATTAGTTTTGGAGTGGAGAGACAGTGACCTTCTCAAGGTCACCCAGAAAGTATTGTGGCTGAGTAGAGATTTGAATTCAGCCCCTCCCCCACAAGTGTGAATCCTACACTGACCACTAACTACATCAAGGGTGGGAAACATTTTCAGGCTCGGTGGCCCCCCTGCAACAGTTGCCCTATGTACTTATTCCATGCAGTAACACTCAACTGCAGACCACATTCTGTGCAAAGTACTTCAGAAACTTCTAAATGCCTTTAAATAGCCTCATTTATGACCACTGATTGGAGTTAACAGTTGAAGAAGCTTGCAGAAGATACCGAACTGGCTTTCAGGTGAGGTGAAACAGAGATTGCAGCACAAAGTGGTCTAGTAGAACTACTGGAATCCTTTCTGGGAGTCATTCTGTTATATCTGTCATACGGATACTGTTGCAGACTTAAAAGGGTCAAGCTGATGAAATTGAAGGACGACATGCATACTGGCTGATTTCCAACACTGATTGGATGTTGGATGACTGCTGGATTTACATTTCTGCTTGAGGGGTAAAGTGGGGCAGCTCAAGTTGCTTTCTTTTGTGCCTGTATCCCCCTCAAACACTTACCTGATATTTTATCACTAAGACAGTTCTGAAGTCTTCTGTTGCCTCTTATTGCCACCTAGCGGCTGACACTATTTGAGGTGCTGCAAGATAAATTTGATAAAATCAAGATAAAAATAAAATCTGTTGAGGTTGTACAAGGCATGATTTTGAAGTATAATGAAAATAGCCAATTCTTCACGGCACATTAGAGAGAGACTGTGACTATCTTGGGATAGCACCTCTATGCTGTCTATTAGTTGTGGGCTTCCTTTTGACAAGAAAGGTAAGGGTATTGTAAACTGCAGGGAATCAAGAAGCTGCTACTTCCCATTTTTTTAAAATGTGGAATCAAGTCTATTCTCAGGACAGAGATTTCTGGACCACAACTACATCCATTTGTGTGTGGACTTTTGCCAATTTTGCGGGGTAGGTGGGTTGTTCGCTCCATGATTCATCTGTTCCTCTACCTGGTGTTAAGCAATGCACCACGATCTGTGCATCCACATGGCATGTGCATTCCATATTTGATCAACCTCCTTAAAAGCAAAGAAAAACCACCTTCATTTTGCCCCTCCACTCACTTCCTCTCATGATTCTTCTCAGCAGTTGGTGTCCCCTCTGACTTTCAGTTGACATCCTCCAGACTTGAGAAAACCAGTCTCTAACCATTACATTTTAGTTGCCTAAAATCCCCCCTGCTTCTGGAATAAGCTTTTTTTTTAAAAAAAAAATTCTCTAAAACAGTGGTGTCGAACTGTGGCTTCTAACTATTACATTTTAGTTGCCTAAAATCCCCCCCCCCGCTTCTGGAATAAGCTTTAAAAAAAAAATCTCTAAAAGGTACAGCACATCCACACTGCCCTAACTGACTTTAAAAAAAACACACCACCTTTGCTTCCTCCCTCTGCTCCATGTAGGAACAGACAGATGAAGTTTTTAATTTCTCAATTTCCCAATATCGTTAAGTGCTTAAGCTGTCTGTGGAAGTCACTAATGATATTGGGAAATTGAAACCAGCTGGAAATTAAAAGCAGGAACATCTGCTTTGATTTGATGCCAGTGATTACACATCCTGGAAATGAACCCAAAATGGAGCATCTAAATAAGAGTAGCCCCTGACAGGGTCCCAGAAAGTGTGTGTAGGGACATTGTTTCATTCTAGCAATTACATCATCTGATCACCAGCAAAAGGAGCAAACCGGCCTGTACCCACAATGGACCAAACAGTGGGAGAAATGTCCATGTAGTTACCCTCTGATTTGATGTTGAAGTCATTAAATCTACATGCTCAGAGGAGTGGGTCTGTCTCACAGGACTGTGGGAATAAAAGTAGGATAAGGCAACCCAGCATATGCTGCCCTAAGCTCCTAGGGAGATGGGAGTAAATGAAGCAAATGTAATGTCCGTGATTAACTTGCTAAATGATATTAGCAGATTCTTTTATTCCTTGCTTGCTTTGTATGTGCCTGAGGGGCAAAAGGAAAGGTGAAGGGATTCTGAGGAAACTTGTCACATTTGGTAGCAAGGGCTTTGAAAGCAAATGAGTCCTGGCTAACAAGCAAACACTTCACTCCCTCCATCCACCCCCTCTCGATTTTTCTCTTTTGTATGAAGCTGCCATGGAAACAGACGAAAGCCTCATGCACTAACAGCCACAGTGAAGTGTGGTGTGCAAGCTAAAATCACAACCAATGGAGAAGCCCAGAGATGGTGATATTCCTGGACTGAAGAGCGAAGATTGTGTGCAGGGGAGGTACTAGACGGCTTGCAGGTGAGAAACTAATGCCAGGCTGGAGAAGGAAGGAAGTCAGAGATGATGGGCAGGGTCACCTGAAGGATCTACAGGGCCTGGGAGAGACCTGAGGGAGGACAGGCTCAAGCACACAACTCCTGGATATATGTGTGTCCTGAGCATGTATATGCTAAAACCATACTTCCAATTTATGTTTAAGAAAAGCCTCTGACACATCTTGGTAGTGGTAGTAAAGTGCTACCTCTTTTCCTGCTTCAAGGAGCTCAGGCAGGATTAGGACTGCTCGGTTAAAAGCTATCTGTTACTTGGCACCAATCTGAGCAAACTACCATACTATTGTGAGCAACTGACGACATTAGCTTGGTCTATTTGGACAGGAAGGAGAGAGCGTCTTCACTATCTGTATGGCACAGGCCTAAAGGCTGATTCCTATTAGCAGTAGATGAAAGAGGGGACCAAGGCTGAAGCAAGTGCTACCACCAGAGCAGCTTTCCCCTCAGAAGTCATTTTGGATGATTTCGACTTCCATTCCATGTGGGCAGGAGCTGATAGTCAAAATATTGGGGAAGGCTGAGCTGTAGAGATCACAAGTTTTTCCTGTCTCTATACAAACTCAGTACAAACTACTCCACTAATTTATTATACAGTATGTACTTATTTGTATCCTGCTCTCGTCAGGTCATTGATGCTCAGTGGTACCTTTACTTTTTATCTGTATACTTGAAGTAACTGTCGTTTTTACTTCTATTCAGACTAGGATTTTATCACAGCTTTCACATACACCAATTAAATGTGTGCTTGATTCACTAAAGGAAACAGATGTGTGTCATCTCGGGGGAGGGGGGTTGAGAGGCTTTATCAGCCCCCTAAGGGAGACTAGGTCCCATGCCTGCCATGTTTCTACCTGTTCTGAACCTATCTATTTATGATTTGGACCACACACTAACCCCTGGAGAGAAGACAATACTCTGAAACCCCTCTTAGAGGTGTCTGTGGACACAACAAGCCATCCTTGAAAAATGAGAGGGGTATACAAAAAGCTGGGAAAGAAAAATAGCAAGTGGGAACATTTTCTAAAAATCACACATTCTCCACTTCATCTTCTTGTGTGGTAAAGTCTTGTCATAGTAAGACTGGGCAAAATGTGACCTGTGGGCTTCATGCAGCCCTTAGGGCCATTTTGGTGGGCCCCTGCATTCTGAGGCCCCATCCCTCAAGGATGGGGGAAGCAAAATTGCCTCAAATGTCACTTGTGTCCTTTTGGAGGATATGAAGGTACTGCCATGTTTTGAGGACCTTTCAAATCCTCTCATTAATGTAAAAAATTGGACATGGGGTGGGGTTGTTGAATTAAAAATGTTTTGTTTAGTGAAACTAATTTTTCAGGTAACAAAAAACCATTGTAGCAAACTTTACAGTGCTTAGCCACTGTATTAATTATTCTAGAAAGAAAGAATCTGAATACACAAATTTAGCCCCTTTAGCTCTGCCCCTTGGGAGTACAGCCCTTGGGCTCCTGGCAAATTTGACAGATGGCCTTCAGCCCCACCGAGCTTGATTACCTCAGAGTAACAGGGATATAATGAGAATCTGTATGAAATAAGAGAGAATTGTTGCTATTTAGCTACAGTAACAGTGGGGAAACTGTGGTTCTATAGATGTCCCAGCTTTTGTCAACTTGAGGCAGCATGACTGATGGTGAGGGTTTGGAAATTATATTCCAGCCACATCTGGAAGACCACAAATTGCTCCATTCCTGACCCATTGACTTAAAGATTGATTTGTCTTGATTAACACCTCTGTATTATTTCTAGAGATTTTCAAGTATATTGAACAATTCCACAATCTATCATGGCCTTCCATCTCTCATACATATTATTAATTTGGGCATTGATATCTTCCTTTTCTGTGCCAAAAGCATTACATAGAATAAAAAAAAATACAAGTCTGGTGATCAATCTCAGGGATTTTATGTATATATTTATCTTTAAAATCAGTGATTAGATTAAGGCATGAATTTATGTGTTAAAATCTAGGGGGAAGAAGTTCTTAAGATACGAATATTTTAACTGTCAAGCATTATATTATGTTGTTCACATTTACAGGAGAAATAAAATGGCAAAAAGAACCAGTGACCTGAATATTTTAAAATGTGATTCCACTTATAAAGGGTTATCATAGAAGGGCTATGACAGAATAAACCAGCAGTTGAGAAGGTTGCTAGAATTTAAAATAATACTGTACTGAGGCATGGAGAACTTTTATTATTTAAATATTTAAAAGTATTATTAAAATATGACACAACACTATAATAGTGCATATAAAAATTATGGTTTATATGCAGTGACTTCCTTCTGCCAGTGGAACATCATCACTGGACAATCAGATTTCACTTCTCCTTTACCTTTTGCCTATTCCAGAGACTTGGGGAACTCTCTCAGACACTTTAGGGGAACACAGAGGGTTGCGGGGGAGAGGAAGGGAAGGGAAGTTCACATTACTGTATGTGAGCAAGTTTCAGTTGTATAATGTTGTATTTAACCCTATATGGTTAAGTTGGCACAAACTGCAGGGTGAAGTAGGTTGTCGGTATTATTATTATTATTATTATTATTATTATTATTATTATTATTATTATTATTATTATTATTATTATTATTATTATTATTATTATTATTATTTATTTATTTATCTATCTATCTATCTATCTATCTATCTATCTATCTATCTATCTATCTATCTATCTATCTATCTATCTATCTATCTATCTATCTTATATGCCGCCCACACTACCCGAAGGTCTCTGGGCGGCTTATGAGGAAATATGTGGAATAAAGGACAATTAATTATGCCAATATGTGAAAAATAGTTGCATATATTCTTGTTGTAACACCTCCATGTTTGCTTTCTGTGTGAAAGATAAAGTTAAGCAAACACTTATAATCCAGAAGGTGAAAACACTGCCTATATTATACTGACAAGCCAAACTATAGTAGTTACGTTTTTGATTTGGGATCTTAAGAGTTCTAAGATCCCAAATCAAAAACGTAACTACTATTTTCCAAGAGGTTCCACTGGCTTGGCCTTTTCTGGCATAACAGGCAGCTCATTAAAAGTTCCCAAAGCAATTCTTTGGGATTTGACTAGTTTACTAGTTCAACCAAAAGCAGACCAAGTATAAATGAATGAATAAATAAATAAATAAAAATGCACACACACACACACACACACTTATGAAGGATTTTCATCAGGCAAGACATTACAAAAGCAGAGTTTGGAAAAATCTCTTTTACTGGCTAGAACTTGAAAAAAAGAAGAAGTTGAAAACTAACTTTTCCATCAGTATTCCTCAGATGGAGTGAAAGAGGAAAGGGTCTGGGGACATTCAAATGAGTTTCCAGCATGCTTTGCCTGCAGGAACCTCTTGCGATGCCAGTAACAAGAAAAGCAAAAATGCTTGATTCTCCATTTTTGATAATATAACATGCAGCTGCAAATCCAGAGCTGTCTTGATCCTGAGTGAAGCACCCAGGCTCTTTTATTACTGGGAAATGGAGAGAGATTAATGGATTTATGAATTCTTATTATTTCTCCTAGATATGTTTACCTTGACAGAAGTGACCTTCCATAATAACAGCCATGCCCGGTTCCAAACGCTAAAACCTTGGTGGGATGTCCTGATGGATTACTTAGTACTGGCAATGCTGGTGGTTTCTCTTCTCTCAGGAACCCTGCTCATCTCTGTTGACCAAATGACATGCTTGCCTCTGAATGACAAATTAAATGAGTCCACAGCAGCTACATCCAAGGTTGGAGCTAGAGATCATGCCATCAAAGAAGTGTTTCCTGCTGCAAACAGTGGCCGTTCAATCAACCTTGATTACCAGCAGTACCTGTACATCAACCATGTCTGCTATCAGAAAACTTTGCCTTGGCTTTCTAAGTACTTTCCTTATCTTGCACTTGGCAACTCACTTCTGTTAATGGCAAGCAGCAACTTCTGGTTCCGGTACCCTAAGACCTCATCAAAGATTGAACATTTCTTATCCATCCTCATGAAATGTTTTGAGTCACCTTGGACGACCAAGGCTCTTTCTGAAATGGCTTGCCAGCATTTCCAAGGGCTACCCAAAACCACTGATGCTGGAGGGTGTCAAGAACAACTGATTTCCCCTTCATCCTCTCCCATTCTGGACCGGAAGGACAGGGAACAGGGACGGGCACTCTTTGAGAAAATCCGCAGATTCAGAGTGCATACTGAAGGCGCTAGTCTGATTTACATGGTTTACATGGGACAAACAATCTTCAAAGTGGTAAAAATTCTAACTGTGCTGGGCTATACCTCCAACTGTGTAGGGTCCATCTCCTTCAAGCATGTTTGCTGGTTGAACACAGAGAACCTCACTGGCTACTCTACTTTCCTCTGTACCCATAGCCTGGCTTTCATTCTGCAGAAGTTGATGACGACTTATCTGTTTTTGGTAATACTCTATGGGGTAGTAGGGGCTTACCCCCTCTTGTGGCTGATGCGGCAACCACTGCACAAGTATTCTTTTAAGCAAGTGCGAGCAGACCATTGCTTCCTTGACATCCCAGATGTCTACAATGATTTTGCTTTCCTGTTGCATATGGCAGACCAGTGCGACCAACTATACTCATGGCGACTTTCCATCTTCCTCTCAGCTATGAGCGAGAGCTGTTTCCTAGATGTGAGTTTTCACTCTGAATTGGGAATGGAAGACTGGGCAGAATTTTCAGGCCCTGGTCACAAAATAAACACATAAGCACATCAGAAAAAAGGAATTTAACTTTATACCCTTTAATCCTTTTCAAATTTCAAACATACTACAGTACTGTGATAGCAGTCTCTGAGAAAGCAGAAACAGGACATCCAGACCTACCCAAAAGTTCAAATGAAAATCCTGTCTTCTCCATCTCCCTTTCCTCCCCATCTTAGAAATGAGTTGAAGCTTTTAAAGATTTTATGATAGGAAAGGGAAAGATATATGAGATGGGTAACCGAAACACCGAGATAGGGAAGAGGGATGTTTTTAATTGCAAGAAGAAAAGCCAACGATGTAAAATCACTACGATTTATCAAAAGCATTTGTTAACAGGCAAAGCTTGGGAAAATTCCTTCTTTTTACTAGAGTTCCCAATACCAAAAAACAAAAAAAAACCAAGACAAAGTCCCATATTTTACAGATATATAATGATGTATGTCATATAAATTGAAAGGTTTACTGTCACTGAACCAAGAACACAGGAAATATTATTCCCACCTGGAAACTTAGCTTGCTCTAGCTTGCATTTTCAAGGAAAAACCAACATTGTCAAAATATTTTGGTTGAAACCAAGACATGCTTCACTGTAGCCAAAGTTACACAGAAGCCCTATTCAGTTGTGTTTTAAAGTGTGTGGAGCCCATATGAATTCAGGAACCATGCTCAACCCATTACTCCACTGTATCTTTAATTATGGAAACATAACTGTCTGGATTACTGAGTGCTATAACCAGGTGTTCTCTCCACATCAGCTAGAAGCCTGATCGGAATGTTGGTTCAACATGGATAGGGTAGCCAAGTTTAACAGCCTTCCCATCTTCAGACAGTCATGTTTCTGTGATTAAAGAGGCAATGGAGAGGGTGGAGTTAACATTGCTTTCTGCCAAATGTGCACAGTCCACACCCTTTAAAACACAATAAAAGCAAAAAGAGGATTGTGGGCAATCTTGGTTTAGCCCAACAGCCGATAACATGCAGAGCAAGGAACAAGACGCTCAGGAAACTTTATAGGAGCAGGAGGACAGATTGCTTGGCAAGGCTACAGTAAATGTCACAGCAGAGATCAATCTACTCATTAGCTAAACCAAATAGAGAACTTCTAGGAAGGAGTTAACAAACAGAACATCTAGTGCAAGGTCCCCAGTTTCCTGGCTTGCCATGTGTTATCTGGAAGATTATGAGAAAGGATTATCAGAAAGGCTAGTTAACCTTGCCTGCTGCTCAGCTAGTGCTTTATACCGGATATAGCTATCTAGCACCTATAAGACTAATTACTATTGCTAGTATACAGTAAATTGTTACAGCTAACACAGTTACCTTCTACATTACTTTTTCAGATAATGCTGTCCTTCCAGTATCAACAAACACCCATTTTAATTGGTGTCAAATGTCTTTAGGCTGGGCTCACAATATTGGTGAAAGTATTGGAGTCATCTGGGGAGACAAAGGTTAACTCTGAGTCACATGAGTTGACAGTTTAACCAGCAGGATTCCAACCTGCTTTGACCCTTTGCACCAGCAGAGGGAATTTTGAAGAGTGCTCACTTGTGGACAAAACATGGTAGTGACATTAAAAAGACATTAATAGCGCTGTTGATATTCTTTCATGGAGTACTGTATATCTGGATGGAAGTCCAAAGTACACGAAAATGGATAGAAAACATGAAGTGATATCACTGCAAGAACCATGGTTTATGGTAAATAAAAAGATATACTACCAGGATTTACAACATAGGCCGAGCTAGCACAGAGAACAAAAAATAGGAGCAGAGGAGGTTTAGCCACAGAAGGTTTTACCATTTTGTTTAAGTTGGAGCTGGGATGGGGTGGTGGACTGATTGATAGTTTACTATGATTTTCTAACTTTCTGGTGGTAAAGCTTATTACCAGTGGCACAGTGATAATTATGACAAATGTTCATGTACCTGCAACTTCTTCCCAGTATTATAATGCAGACATACGGCTACAGTGGAACTATTATTTCGAGGAGTTGGGTTTGAGGTTTCCAAGTACTCTCATCATATTGTTAGGCAATATTAATGCCAGGATGGGTCGTCATCATTACCATTAAAATCTCTGAGCCATGTGGTATTTTTGAAGAGTTCCCTAGATTTGGAAATCCAGACGTAAAAACATGAATAACACTACTTTAATCTTATTTAGGATAATATATGTTTGATCTGCAGATTATAGGTTCCAATAAATTTAACACAGTATACCCTTTTATTTTCTGCATATTCAAGTAGTGCTCACAACTATGTGGATGTTTCTAGACGGAAGGTTCATTTATTCTCTGACAGAACAGTTAACACGAGGAAAGACAGTAATCACCCATTCATATTGGTGAAGTTAACAATGGGATCAGATCTAAGGATAGTATTATGCTCCAACAAACAGGACAGAAGGTGGAATTTAATCAGAAGAGATTAAAATAGTAGAAAGAAAGTGACAGCAAATTAAATATTTTCTAGAATTTGATTATAGGTAAATTACTTTGTGATGCAATTTTAAGGCTTGACTCTAATGCAGACACAATTAAAAAGACCCAAACTATGCTCCTAGAATTAGACAGACTAGAATACAGTAGAAGAGTCAGTAGTCTTGACTGAAAACTATTAGACAGTCTTGAGTGACATATGAAGGTCTCGGGTTAAATTAAGGTAGCATTAGGAATCTGGCTAATGCTTTTAAGAAAGCATTAGCCAGAATCCTAATTCTGCTTTATACTTCTATATGAGAAACTGCAGAAATCATGGCAGCAAACTATTGCTTACTGAAGAGGTGCTCTTCGTATATTCCTGGGCACAGGTCTGATCTCATGAACTTGCCACCAAGACTTACAGTACATGACTTCCCTTAGGCATGTATAAACTGGCAGTAGCATTCTGTTCATTTTGCTTTCCAGATGGGAAGACAGTAGGATTCTACAAGGATTGTGATTTTTCTCCTGGGTCCATTTGTATAATAGCTTTTGCTACATACATCTAGGGGGCACACATATATAAAAAGGATCGAAACATGTGCCTCTGTTTCATCTCTGATGATTTTCTGGTTCATCTCTGATGTAATAACCTGCTAAAGACCACTAATAAAAGCTGGCGAGTAACTATTTACTTTGGTGCCTATGTTATCTCATCATGTGCTGATTAAAGATCATATTTTAAAGAGGGAAGGTTAAGATCCAGGGAACAAGAGTCCAACTCTGTTGGCTCCCAAACCTGTGTTCTGTTCAGTATACAGAATGTTTGCTGGGTCTTCTAATGAATCCTATGTTCTTCACAAGAACAAAACATAAAGGAGACTTTAAAAACATACTAACATAAAATGTGATTCCCAGTAATATTTTATGAGGTTAAAATGGTGTCAGATTTTCCTAGCTTCTCCTATTCGATTCAACCTATTTGATTTCCTGCATGTAATAAAATGTTATAGTCTTCCTTCACCTCCTAATAGGTCTACTTTTCTCCCATGTTGCAGACCAGACATGCCTTTCCCCAGGACATCCCACGTCCTTCCGACATCCACTAATTTTCTATTTTTCATTTCCAACCAGTATTCAACATTCTGTCATTTCTGCAAGGTGTTTATCAGTTTTTTTAAAAATATCTTTTGTGCTGTAGAAACCCTGGGACCCACAAGCACATTGACACTTCCCTTTTGGTTTTCAGTGGCACTGTCATGACTAAAGAGCTACTGGCACTTCCCATCTGAGATTATTATTGAGGTAGTGAGGGGAGAATGAAGTTTGATGGAGTAAGTAGGATCTAAACACACATACTTCTCCAAATAAACTCTCAGATACCTCAAATCATACATCCATGACATTAAGAGATATATATTAGTTTTCTGCTACTTGGCACCCTCCAGATTTTTTTATACTACAATTCCCAAAATCACTAACCATTGGCCATTCTGATCTGGAATAACAAGAGTTATACAGTAGTTTAAAAAAAATCTAGAGGACACCAATTGGGAAAGCTGTTAATATAGTGAAATAAAATATGATTCTTCCCTGTTTGCTACAGATGGTATAAATTCAGCAGACACACCAGAGCGAACTTGGATGACTTTAACATGCCTCTCCTGTCTTGGCCACTTCATCACCAAGAAAAGTTCACTGCTTTGTTTAAAATTGTATTTTTGTGTGTGTGTCTTGTGTTGGGGGTCACTTGTTTGAAATATGGAGGTACAGATCTTTACAATAAATTAGTAAAATGCTGTATCTGAACCCTGAAAAGATATGCCTATGCAGTTATAAGGGTCAGCAAAAAGAGTTCCCACTGTTAAACTATGAAGAAAGCAGAAGCTCGAAGTCTCTCAGTTCGATCCCACAGGAAGGCCAAAGAGAAAACTTCTATGCTTAAAGCAGTCTCATTTTGACTCGTCTCGAAACCTGTCGTAGTTAACCCTATATTAACACCTGTACACCCACCGTCGCTCCATCCGTCAGTAAGAAATAACGCGCATGCGTAGTACACGTCCACGAGGTTCTGAAACTGATCGGTTGCGGCGCATAAATGTTGAAGTGGGCAGTGTGTTAGGCGCTAGCGCATGCGTAAGAGGGATGCTGTCAGGCAAAACAAGCTTTCCACAAACCCCGAGCTTCGTCTAGGCTGGTTTGTGGAGGGTGAAGGAGAAGTCTGGAGTTACGGTGGCCTTGTTGGTTCATGTAGCGCCTGCGCACTGTGGTGTTTGTGTATTCTGGCTGCGCGGCGGCGGCGGCTCCGGGGGAGGGGGGGAATATGGCGGCGTCCTCGTTGGAGCAGAAACTGTCCCGCTTGGAGGCCAAGCTGAAGCAGGAGAACAGAGAGGCCCGTAGACGAATCGACCTCAATTTGGACATCAGTCCTGCTCGGGCTCGGCCTAGTAAGGGAGGGTTTGAATGGGGGAGTTCCAGGGGAAGGGCCCTGTGCTTGAATGACACCGGACTGCCTGGGAAAGGGCCCTGCGACCAGCGGGGTTGTGGGGAGGAAGGTATTCCCGAGTGGGATGGCAAAGTAGGGCTTTTCTTGAGGAGGGGAAGGGGCCGGATGGGGGTGACATATGAAGGTCTCGGGACAGAGGCGAGAGGCAGTGAAGGACCTCTCGTTTACGACGGAGTCTGGGGGAAAAGTGAGGCCCACGGCTGTGCCTGCATGCAGGAAAGATTGGACAATTAAACAACGTGTAGCAGCAAGGTCTCTGCGTAGTGTGTGCCGGTCTGTTTGGAAAGGAAAAACGTGCAAGAGAAACGGGAGGTTGTGGGGACAGAGGTCTTCGGAGTAACCTGAAACCTAATTTCTCGGCTAGTGTGTGGGGTATGCTTTCTGGTGGGCATTTGTGAGATTCTGGGGGTGTGGGTGGGGGAATAATGAGCAGAGCAGAAGGTCGTAGGAACCTTTAGCTTAATGTGTGTTGCACAGATAAATGGATTATCTCAAAGAAATGTGTATTGTGATTACGACCGGAATGGCCCTGTCTTCTTTAAAGATAAGAAAAATATTTGGGGCTCAAACCTACAGTCTGCTTTTTTTTAGTGGAGAAATATGTTCTCTGTGTTCTGGTTAGTAGAAATTAGAGAAGGTAATAGAGAGACTGAAGCTTTTTCCACTGGAGAAAAGCATTTGGGATCTTCTGTCACATAGTAAAAGCAATGAAATGAAAAAATTTCTGCGCACTCTGAAGTGTCCTTGAGTCCATCTCCAGTTCAGAACTGGTATCTCAGTTCCTCGTTGGTAGATAAAGAAGTTCACAAGAGCTCTTTATGTCTGGAAGCCTAAACATAAGAAAGTTCTGTGGGATGCATATAAGGCATTGTTGTCCCAAATTGTTGATATCTGAAACATAATGTTTTTTCCAGTTTGAAATACATGAAATATTTTATTTACAAAACTACATAAAGATCCACTTACAGATGCACACATATTTTCTTGACAATATGTGAGAAAAGTAGTCAGATATCCTCTAAACAGAATAGCCTGATTAATGCTGCATCTTGGAAATAATGTGGTGGTTTTTGGACAACAGTGATACTCCGAGAGGAGCCATGCTGGATGAGAACAAATGTCTTTTTAGTTCAACATAGTGGCCAAACAGATGCCTATCAGGAAGCTCTGAAGCAGGAGATGGAGGTAGTGGCACCCTCTCACTTATGTTCCTCAGCAACTGTTATTGATATGCATGTTTGTGATTAGTAATCATTGATGGTATTGTCCTCCATTAGTATGTCTAATTCCTTTGTTTTGCTTATTTTGAGCTTTTTACTTTGATTTTGAAGAATGGTGACTAGCAGACAAGGCAGTGATACAGACTTCAGATATAGCTTTTAAAGTGCTGAAATTGGTAGCCACAACTGCATTTTATAGTAGCAAATTTCATAATTTATCTATGCATTTGTGAAGCAGTCTTTCCTTCCAACCTTTTCCCAGTTCCACAATATCCTTTTCAAAGTGAAGTGACAAAAGCTGCTTCATTGAATTGTAGCATAGCATTATTATAATAATAGCAGCCATATTTTTGCTTTTTCAAAAAACAGTAGCTGTACACAGGATGACATTTTCATTGAGCTATAAACTTGGACCCCTTTCCTGTCAAGTCATCAAGTTGTGTCAATGAATTCAAGTTTATCTTTGCTCTCTCTGGGAATATCTTGGCAGAGAGAGGAAGGCTCAGTACTGTATAGTTCTTCCTCTTCCAAAGAGTATAGAATGGTGCAGATATTTAAGTGGTTTAATATTTTCAAGGCAGACTTCAGCCCCTCTGAGGGCAATGTTTATTTTAGCAGGCTGCTAGAGAATAACAGATAGAACAAGCTGAACATTTTCACTAAGAAAATTGTTTAATAAAGTTCTTAATGCAGATAACAAGAAGAAAGAAAAGCTGTGTAAGAACCAAATGGGTCACATAACTGTAATAAGAGTTAACATAGACATTTAGTTTACAGTATTTGTACCTTTGTATTTTAAATTTAAGAGTTGAGATTTTACATGGTGAGCACTGTATAAAGTGCCAGAGAAATTAATAAAATATTGTTCAGCCCATGTGACTGCCTAATGTTACCATTGGCAGCTACTGGATTATGAAATGTACTAAACAAAACATGGGAGGGTATTTATGGGATGTTTAAGTTTCACATAAGTGACATAAATTAATTTTACAATTAAAGTGCGATAGTAGCTGTTGATATTTGTTTTAATTTCTAATTCTTTTTTCTGCCTTTGAAGAAGTAGATTAGTCTAGTTGTAAATTCTCCAAGTCTGATTTCAGATTGTTAATTTAACATAGACTGATTCTGAGTTGAATGTATTTTCTGACAAATAATTTGTCATTGGGGAACGCCTGGTGGTACCTTTTGTGGTTGTAGTAGGTTTCTGACTACTGTATAATCAATGGCAACTGTACTATAGTCCAAAGTTTGTATTCAGATACAGGGTCCTCTGACTCTGAAGTGCATGGGCAAGACCTCCTTGCACACAGATTTGTCAGTCAGAAGTAGATCTGACTGACAAATCTAACACTACTCAGGTATTAAGCTTCAGAGTATGCAGGGCGGCTCAAAGGGTGGTTGTGATGCAGAGTTCAAGGCTACTGTTGGCACTTTCGTTATCAGGCCTGGCATTCCCAGAGTACAGTAACATGCTTTCTATAGCTTTGCAGATCTTTGCACTGCACATAGGTATGATTTCCAGGTGGTAAGGTGATGTAGGGGTTGAGACTTACACATACCTCTTAATGCAGTTCAAACCCTACCCAGTTTCAGACATAATGCCCAGATAGACCAAGTGGGGGAGGAGAATCCTTGATAAAGTGGATCAAAAGAGAAAGCATCAAACCTGACTGTTCTTAATTGCTTTTATAGTAATGGTTGAGACAACTAGTGATCGACTTCTTATGTTGCCTGCACATGTGCCGCCTCAGTAATATATTTTATTTATTTAAAATATTTATATCCCATCTTTCTCCGTAAGAGGATCCAAGGTGGCTTACAGGAGTAAAACAAACAATATTAGAAGCACAAAAACAATAAATTATTACACTATTAAAATGAATTAAACAAATATTAAAACTAGTAGATAAAAACAGTCCTAAAACACATTAAAAACAACAAAAACATATTCAGACAAAATTTCTTGTAGTCATAGTTTTTTCACATTTCATTATATAAGAAGTTACATTATTCTTTACATAGGAAGTTACGGTATGCACCCTTATGTTTCTTGTTCACACATACAGTGGTGCCTTGACTTACGACCATAATCTGTCCCAGAAGATGGGCGTAACTTGAAATGGTTGTGAGTTGAAGCAGCATTTCCGGTAGGAATATGTTGAAACCCCATTAATCTGTTCCGGCTGGAAAAAAAAAATCAAAAACAAAACAACAGCAAGCCCCATCGGAATGCAGTGGGGCTGGGAAAAAAATCAATCAAACAAACAGAGCAATCCCCATCGGAATGTGATGGGGCTGGGAAAAAACACACACCAAAAAAATCACAGCACAGAAACATACCCCCCCAACTCAACCCCACCCTGCAAAACAAAGTAAATGTACCTACTCAGAAGCAGAAAGCAGCACCAGGCAGTCCAAAGCCTCCTCCGATGCACACTCTCTAACCGTTGGAGCGAAAGAGCTACAAAGAAGCTCTTCATCAACCAACGGTTAGTACCTACATTTGAATTCTCTGCCTTTTTCCCTGCCTCTTTTCTGTTTGCAACTTGAAGCTCCGGCCGCAAGTCAAAGCAAAATTTTTGCGGTCGAAGCTGGTTGCAACTCGAAATGGTTGTATGTTGGGATGGTCGTAGTCGAGGCACCACTGTATTATGAGGGCAGTATAGGTGCAGTCCATATGGAGGAAGTTTCCATGCCACCAGCATTAAGCTTGAAAAGCTTTGAAAGACAGAATAGCTTCAGTTCTGAGCCTTGTTTCAAATAGGCCCAGCTAAAGCAGATCGTCTAGGAAGAAGGGAATGTGAAGAGCTTAGACATTTTTTTCCTGATCCAGACAGACATGGTGTCTGGCTTTTCATATGAGATTGTAATATCTTCAGATCCACTTTCTGTTGTGGTTTTGCGATGCAGGGATAGCTTGTTTTCAATTTTGAGTCTAAAAGTCAGAAATGTGTTTCATAATGTATATTGTACCATGGGATAGTAGAGATAAGCTAAGAGTGTGTCATCAAAAATGATTTATTCAGAGGAATGAGGGTCCTTCAAAATCCTGTATGCAGACTAATTGGTTTTTCTTCAAGGCTCTTTTATTCATGATTTATTCAATCATTTTTCGTTGTTTTTCTCACTACAGATACAAGATTAGTTAAGTGTGCATATTACTGGGGAAGCTTCAGGTACACTTTACATTCAAATCTACGGTATAATAGAAGATAACAGGCTGGGCAGTTTAGTTCCAGCTGCTGATGCACCGTGACAACCCACAGATCTATTAGCTGTGCAGTTGATACATGTGAGAAGGACTTGACGCACACTGATGTGTACATACAGAACTCTTTCACCTCAAGGTCAGAGTCCTGATTGAATTATCCTAACATGGAAGAGTTTGATGGCTATTTCTTGGTGTACTTGTGCAGCAAAGTTTCCTATGGAAAAATTAGGCAGGAGCTGAGATGTCTGGGTTTGTTCATAGCAAGAAGTAGGACTAGCTCACACAGATCTCCAGATATTTTTCTGTGTGCTTAAAGATGTCTGTGTATGTATGGGGAATCAGTAGCTCATCAATGAATAGGTACTTAACGTTTTGTAGGGTTTCTAGGCAGGGTTTTATTCAGCTTCTATCTAGATCTCCTGTCATCCTGGAATTATGTGTGCTTATCACATATTCAGAGAGGGAAGTGGTGTTTATTATAAATAATAATATTTATATAAAGAAAATATATAAGGGAACATAAGATAGCATAAAAAATCCAAAACAATAAAATGATGAACAAATTAGATTTTTAAAAAACGGAAAAATTTCATAATGGCACATGATAAACAAATTCAGTGATAGATCAAGTTGAAAACTAAGTCTTTAGGATACTCTTTAATGCATGGCTACTTTCCGTTACACAGCTGAGGAGCCACCACCGAGAAAGGTATTTTTCTTGTGTCTGCCAGCCTGATTGCTCTTATCTGTGGCAACACAGTAGAACCTTGAATACTGATTTCATAGTATGGGCAGATGTGGGTTGAGGGTAGTCATATTTCTTCCTCTGCTGCACACATTTGTTCTTTTTAACTCCAAATAAACAAAAATTGTTTCTAAGCCAAGAGCAGCTGTTACTGTATGATAATGGTAGAAATTGTGTAGTAGGAGCTAGAGATTTGGATTGAACTAATCTGGAGAGTTAGATGATATTCCTATCTTGTCATCTGATATACAGTTATTTTAATATGTTAAGGTCTAATTTACCTCAACTGTAGAGTGTGATGAGTCCTGTAAGCCAATAGAAATGACAGATGTACCTTTGGCTTCTGTAATAGAATCTGGCAAGAATTTTTACCAGTCATTCAAGTGAGAGGGGGTTTGAAAGGAGAAACAAAAGTGTAAATCTTCTTAATGAAACATTCCAAATATATTTCTTTTTGAAGGGTTATGTCTTTCTCTGTGTGTATGTACATTCTAGTCCCCAGTGTCAGAGGAATGAGGGTCCTTCAATATCCTCTATGCAGGCTAATTGGTTTTTCTTCAAGACTCTTTTATCCATGCTGCTAATTTATTTTCTAAAAATTGGCAGTACCACTTTAATGATTATCAGTTAATTTTATGAAAATTGCACAGAATTAAAAACTGCCAGTGCCAGTTGCATTCCTGGCAGTTGATAGTTTGTGACAAAAGCAAAGGGTTTTGATAGAGGGCTGTAGAAGCATGTTTGTGTGTAGACAATCCTGGCTTTATTCTCTCATATTTTGAGGTAGAACTGGGAAAAACTCCTGTTGGAAACCATAGAGAGCTCTACTGCCAGTCAAGGGATAGTGTTGAGCGACTAGCCTTTCCCAACCTCATAGTGGTAGGACCAACATGATTTGACCAAACTCTGGGAGGCAGAGGAAGACAGGAGGGCCTGGGGTGCTCTGGTCCATGGGGTCACGAAGAGTCGCGACTTAACGACTAAGCAACAACAACAAAAGTGGTACGAGCCTCGTGGCACAGTGGTTAAACTGCAGTACTGTAGTCAAGACTCTGCTCATGACTTGGGTTCAGTCCTGATGGACTCAGGTATCCAGCTCAAGCCTTCTGTCCTTCTGAGGTTGATAAAATGAGTACCCTGCTCATGAGGGGGATGATGTGTAGCTGCGTAATTAAATTGTAAACTGACCACAGATTGCTTTAAGCACAGTGGGGGCAACATTTAAGCAGCACATTTTGCTTTGCTTTGTTGGGCTGTAGCTCCCTTTGCCCCAGCCAGCATAGACGGAGGTCAGTGCAGATGGGATTTATCATCAAATTTGTGAAAACCTAAAGTTGGAAACTGCTGAGCTGGGTAGACCAGTGGTATAAATCATGGCCACTGGTGTTTGCATAAGGTTTGTATATCTTGCTTCAGGTAATTGTGGCTAATTGATGAAGAGCTGGGGTGCTTTTCAGTTGCTTGCATGGTTGTGTGCCTAATTTTACAACTGAAATATGCCCAACACCTCATCAGTTAGTTGCAGTCGGCTATGCCAGTGGTTCTTAACATTGGGTTACTCAGGTGTTTTTGGACTGCAACTCCCAGAAGCCTTCACCACCAGCTGTGCTGGCTGGGGTTTCTGGGAGTTGCAGTTCAAAAACACCTGAGTAACCAAGGTTAAGAACCACTGGGCTATGCAAACTTTACACCAGTAGGACTTCAGTTAGTGTAAATATTCCCATGTTCTTCACATATGCCATTTGCAATGCAAGACACTTCCTTTTTTGACCATGAGTGTGGCTGCTAGGAAACAGCTATGTACAGTATTCTGAAGAATGTCAAATAATGTTTTTACTCCTTCCATTTGGTGTGTTCAATGGGGGTTATTTCCTAGATACCAATTTGTGTTGCAAAAATATGTTTGAAAATTACTTTGCTAAAATTAGTTGACTGTACTGTCAAACAGTATTAGCTTATTGGTTGATACAGTACTGTAGTAATAGAAGTATGGAATGTCTATGAAAATGGTTACTGCAAGTAATGCAGAAATTTAACAGGTTCCTATGTATCAATTTTATTTATTTTACTTTTTTTGCAAACAGTGTTGTGAAAAGAACATTTAGTCATAACAGAAAATTTACGTAACAGCCATATGAAATTGCTCCAATTCTACAAGTGGGAAATTTTGTATCCATTAATGTATCCATTGCCTTTATGTTTACCTTGTCAAGAGGTTTGCATGACTGCTTGATGGCTTGACTGTTGGAGCCAAGTGATGGTAACTCAGAAGTAGAAATAAGCTAACATTTGTGGATGTCAAGCAGTCTGTTAGTGTTACCAGAGTATGGGGAAGCACGTCTTGACACTTTAAATTGGAAATATTTTATGAATGAAATTTAGTTTGGGAAAGGTTTTGAAAGTAGGGAAGAATAGGTGGGGAAAAGTTTTGATTTGGTATCAGAGAACTGTTTGAACAACCTGCCAAAGTACATGATTATGGCTATTGGTGTCATGGGGTACCAGTGTGGTCTGGTGAACAGGGTGACAGACTAGGACTCAGGAGAACTGGGATAGAATCCTCAGTTGACAACTGCAGTGGTAATGGCTCTGATAAAACAACTGCTTAAATATCTCACATACACTGAAACCTATATGGTTGTTATTAGGGATGCAACTTAATGACACATAACATATGTACACATGTGCAAGAGAAATCTTTGCTGTAGGTAAAAAATAAGAGATTATAGTTACCTGTCTTTGCTTTTAGATTAGATGATCTTAATTATCATTTCTGGTTTAGAATTAATATGAGTAAATATTGTGTCAAGAGAGCATGGACTTTAAAACAGGTCTTCATGCTGTTATAAGGGCTAGAAATATTACAGATAAAAATATTTGAGTGCCTGGGTATTTAAAATGTGTGTGTATCACTAGTGCTTAAAAGTATTGAGGCTAGAGCCTGGAATGTATACAGCTGTGTTCAGTTTTAGAATGTAATGCTTACTTTCAACAAAGCTAAAGCTGCCTTGTATGCATTTAAATATTTTAAATCAAGTTTCCTTCTAAGATGCGCGCCTGTGGCTCTGCCTCCTTCTGCACATGGCTCCTCCTTTGCACGCCCACAGCGATCATTTTCAGCCCCTTTGATTCGGGCCACGACTGACCCCTGCATGGGGGATGGAGTTCTGCATGCATGGAGGCAGAGTCCTGCCCAGCGGGGCTGAAAATGAAAACGAACATTGTTTTTAATGTATGATTGTGATTATGAAATAGTGGGCGAGTTTTGATGGTCCGATTAATGTTTTGGCCTCTTGAAAGGAAGGCCATTAAACGAGTATTTCTCTACAAGAGAGCAGAATCATATAGAGCATAATAGAACAGGGCTTAGAGAATACTCATGGAGGAAAGATGGAAGTGCTTCCTTCACATTATAAGTACTAGGGACATAACTTCTGTGGAACTGATCCTTTGCTTGTTTGGTGCATCTCATTTTCACCTTGTCTGTCCTCTTTGTTGATTTCTCACCACTTCCATTCCTTATCCTGAAATTGATTTGAATATGATTTATTTTCATTTTGATGACTTGATTGTTTCTGTTGTGATTTATCATGTTTTTTTCTTCCTTTTCCCAATCCAGTTATTGTGATCACTCTAAGCCCTGCTCCCGCTCCATCCCAACGTGCAGGTACCAGAACTTTTTATCATCGCAGCTTGGATTTCTTGCATCATTACTTAATGCTTCCTTCAACTGCTTAGAATTACCACTTGTCTGCTTCTCTTTCAAGTGTGTGCCTGACCCTGCTTCTTCCCCAATTTTGGTATTGTCCTTTATTGATCTAGCCTAACATTCTGAGACTGGCTAGATAAAGCAGTGCATATGGCCATGCATGAGAATATGTTTTGATTGTTCATAGCTGCAAGTAGTTGCTTAGCACCTTCCTTTCCTGATGTTCTCAAAGCACTTTCTGAAGTCAGGTAACCACTAAACTATCATGCTTATGTAAAACCTTGCCTTAGCCATGTGTCAGAACTTATAGGTGGAATGTGGCAGAAATGCATGTTGTCATACTGTACCTTTGATGCTTTGGAAGGGCAATTGTAAACTGTCAGACTGCATCCAGCAAGATGAAGTACAATGTCTTTCCTGTGTGGAGTACAGTTGCCTTTGAGATAGCAGGCTGTCCTTTCTATTAAACAGCAGCTTGCTCTAGGGCAGAAAGTCAAGATAGTTCTTCTAGTAAAGAGCAACAGCTGCAATGTTCCTAAGATGCAAGCATAGCAGCCCACCATGGAGATAGGTAGAAAATTGCTGTGGTTTCCAATAATAGAGAGGTATGAGAGCAGCTTCTAAAATCAGCAAAATCTATAGAATCTCACAACAGTATATGCTTTTTTATATATAGTCATGGCAAGGGAAAAATATATGTGTGTATTGGTTACCTTTGGATGCCTTTCTCTCTCAGAAAAGCTTGATTCAAAGGTTTCCTAGGCAACATGTTTTCTTAGCTATTGCTTCATCTGAAATATGGTAGGTTTCATTGATGGCCCTAAATATGCTTTCAAGTTGTTTTCTAAACAGATGTTATTTATTTTGTCTTTTATTAGCCTGTACATATTCTTGGGGAAATGAACTCAAAGCAGCTTATTTAAAAACCGTTGTGTGGTCTAGTAGGCCAGTGGTTCTTAACGTGGGCAATAATGCCCCCCAGGGGGCGATTTCCTTTTTCAGGGGGGCGGTAGAACGAAAAGGGGCGGTGTGGGGGCGAAAGAACAGAAGGGAGGGGGTAGGGGGGCGCTGGAGCGAGCCAAACTTGTGAAGGCAACTGCAGCTGCAGTGCTGGCAGTAGATCTGGTGCTGCTGCTACCGCCAGATGATCCAGCTCTTTCTACCTGCCATGTCTCACCTTTCTCCTTTAGGGGAGCACTGAGTGTGGATCAGGTGGAAGGAAAGGGTCTCTTGGGTCCTCATCCTCGCCCCGTGAAGCGCTGCCTCGCACCCGGGTGGGGAAGGAGACAAGGAAGTAGGTAGGTAGCTAGGTAGGTAGGTAGGTAAGATATCTTCTCAGGGAGGGGGGCGATGATAACTTCCTCAGTGGCTCAAGGGGGCGTTTCTTTCAAAAAGGTTAAGAACCACTGGTCTAGGCATTGCATCTGTTTATTTCTCATATGGGATAAAATTACTTTCACTTTGGTAGCAACTGCAACTTTTAGGAATCCTGAAAACAACCTTGCAACATTGCAACTATTTGGTTAGAGATCTATGCACACTGTTAGCTGTTGTTGGTGTGTGCAGTAAAAACAATCATTATCTAAAAGCTAAATTAAAAATTAGCGTATTTGGTTATTATATTGGCCACAAGTTTGTATTACAGAGTAATAGTATTGATTGAAATGCAGAGTTAGCATTGTACCCTGCATGACTTTCAGGAGGGTAGCATTAGAAATTAAAAAAACAAACAAACCAGTGCCCAATGCTTGTCTGTTCTGTGTGGTATTGGAATTTTTTGATCGTTCATAGCTACAGTAGTCATACAGTGAGCTTCTAGCTTTGATCCATGTTTCTTTGATGCTTTACTATTTAACAATACTGCACTGGTGAAATCTCTTACTGAGACTTTCAAAATAATCAGCAGTGCTTAAAAAATCCATAAGTGTACCAGAGGGGTTGCACTATTCACGTGCTAGTCCTGGTGCGGCCTGCCTTCTCAAAAGTTCAGGTACTAGTCCTGGCATGCCCTGTCCTAATGGGCTTCTTCACTTTCTGCCCTTACTGGCTCTAGCTGTACATTATGAGAGAGCAACTGTAACTTTTCTACCCTAGAGGCAGCCATGTTTGAATGTGGACAGTAGAGAGGGTAGCAGTTTGTGTAGGAGATGCTTGCCTGCTAGTGCTTTGATCTCTTTTCAGGATGGGACTTAGATTGCCTTCCACTGCTTCCCAACCTTGTCTTCCACTAGCTCTTACCTATGCTTTCATGCAGTGCCACTTGCTCTTCGCAGATACCATCCAGCAAATTATCTTACCCCACCATTTAAAAATAGTTATTACTCTAACCTTGTCTTCTGAAGGCAGTATATTGACTATTTGTGTGGCTTTTAGATGTAAAGGTATCATTACTTTTGACTTGTCTAGTTAGGATTAGAGGAGGAATCAATGGGATTTACGTAAGTGTTATGTTACCACTTCGCATGTATTCTTGAAGGCTTTCATGGCCAGGGAGATGCTGGCCCCAGTGACTGGCAAAATGTTAGGAAGAAAAACCTCCAGAGCATGGCCAAAGAGCCTGAAAAACCTACAACAACTATTTCTTCTATAACACAGACAGAGCTCTAGCTCCTGTCCTCTGAAGATGCCGGCCACAGAGACTGGCGAAACTTTAGGAAGAACAACCTTCAGAACACGGCCAAAGAGCCCGAAAAACCTACAACAACTACCACTTTGTAGTTGATTTACTTGGGATTAACAGTTGCATTTAACATCTTGAGGAATCACCCTGAATTGCTGCTCCTACCATATGAATGCATTTATTTAAATGATAGCATATCAATATTCTGCTGAAGTGGTAAACTTCCATGCCTCCCTAAGATAGATATATTGAGGATAAAATAGGGCAACTTCCCAATTAACTTTGCAGAATTCATGTGCGGTGCTGCTGGGTGAATCTTGTTGGGGTTAAAACTGTGTTTCTCCCCATCTACCTCCCTAGTCCTTGCAAGCATATGCATTTTCTTTCTAAAGTAAGTCCCAGGGGGGGGGACACATTTTTTTAGCCACAAGCTTTAAAAATTCCTAGTCTGAGAAAGTGCTGAGGTGTGTCTCAAGCACTGCTTTTTCCATTTCTTGTAATAAATGACTCCATGAACATGAATTTGGAACTTGGTTGTGCATATTGAATGCAAACAAACATGATATGCTGCCTTGGATTCTTTTGGGAGAGAAAAGCAGAACAAAAATGAATAATCTGTAGGCCTTGTTTTTAGAATAATGACCAGTAGATAGCATCCACACAAATTTGAATGGTGACCAAAAGGTGGCATACACAAATGTTCACTGATGGCATTCATGTACATTCTTTGTAAACATTATGTGTACTAATCATGGGGGGTTGTGGGTTGGAATTTTTTGTACTACAGATCTCATCATTCTCCATTTTGGGAGTTCTGGCTGACAGACCCACACATGCATAGCACGCCAGGCCCTCCTGTCTTCCACTGCCTCCTGGAGTTAGGTCAAATTCATGTTGGTAGCTTTAGTGACACTGTCCAACCATCTTGTCCTCTGTCATCCCCTTCTGCTCCTGCCCTCACACTTTCCCAGCATCAGGGTCTTTTCCAGGGAGTCTTTTCTTCTCATGAGATGGCAAAAGTATTGGAGCCTCAGCTTCAGGATCTGTCCTTCCAGTGAACACTCAGGCTTGATTTCCTTCAAAATGGATAGGTTTGTTCTCCTTGCAGTCCAGGGGACTCTCAAGAATCTCCTCCCGCACCACAATTCAAAGGCATCAATTCTTCGGCGGTCAGCCTTCTTTATGGTCCAGCTTTCACTTCCATAGCTTTGACTATGTGGGCCTTTGTCGGCAAGGTAAGGTCTCTGCTTTTTAAGATGCTGTCGAGGTTTGTCATCACTTTCCTCCCAAGAAGCAGGCATCATCTGCAGTGATCATGGAGTCCAAGAAAGTAAAATCTGCTACTGCCTCCGTATCTTCCCCTTCTATTTGCCAGGAGGTGATGGGACCAATGGCCATGATCTCAAGTTTTTTTGATGTTGAGCTTCAGACCATTTTTGGCACTCTCCTCTTTCACTCTCATTATGAGATTCTTTAATTCCTCCTCACTTTCTGCCATCAGAGTGGTATCATCTGCATATCTGAGGTTGTTAATATTTCTTCCAGCAATCTTAATTCTGTTTTGGGATTCATCCAATCCTGCCTTTTGCATGATGTATTCTGCATATAAGTTAAATAAGCAAGGAGACAATATACAGTGGTGCCTCGCTTAACGAGCGCACCGTATAACGATGAAATCGCATAGCGATCCATTTTTTCGGATCGCTAATGCGATCGCTCAACGTTTTTCCAATAGGGGAAAATTCGCTTTGCGAAGACCGGTAAGCGTTTTGCTTACCGATCTTCGCAAAACGAACCCCGACGATCAGCTGTTCGGCCGCCAAAATGGCCGCCGGAAGCTTGGAAATGGCCCAAAATGGCCGCGCGCAGCGTTTTCGCACCCTCGTTAAGCGAGGCGAGGGCACGAAAATGGCTGCCGGCCATCCTGAAGCATCGCTGAACGGTGAGTATTTGGCCCATTTGGAACGCATTAAACCATGTTTAATGCGTTCCAATGGAAATCCCTGCCCCGTTCAGCGATGCTTCAGCATAGCGAAGGTTAATCCGGAACGGATTAACCTCGCTATGCGAGGCACCACTGTAT